CAGGATGCGGGGATTGCTACTGCAGCTTATCCTGTCTGTGAATGGAAGATGCTATACGCCACGTTCGCAAGTGGCTCTGCACTTACTATATTAGTAACTGGGTCAGTCAAAGCTGGCACCGCTAAAGTCTTATATATACCGCAAATGTCTATGTCTTGTACCTTCAATCCTCTATATATGCTAAAGCTTATGCAGGAGTTAATGGAGATACAAGCGAAACGGTACTATGAAAAAGCTTATAATGTTAGGAAATAGTGCCAAGAACACAAGGTTTCTTGCTGACTTGAATGGCATATGAAGATAGACTGTAGCCCCATGAGAACTTTCCGCGCGCCGTGGGAGTTTCGAATCGCTTTCCCCAGTGTCTGATTTCCCTTTACGGCGTCTCTGACACTATAACTTTAGACCAACTCCAGGGTGCACGCGGATGACCACAATTCTCTAAACGCATGTACGTTCATGCATGTTTTTGAGGGGTAAAGACCTCCATCATAACCCAGAATATGGCAACAGAAATCATACCTGAAAACAAGCTATACCCTCTGTCAATAATCAAGCCAAACGTGAAGAATTATTTTATGAGAAGCTTGCCCAAGCAAAATTGAGAAACCCATCCACGATATCCTTACCTGTTTCGTTAATTTTACGAGTGCTGGTTTACATTATTGTACTTATGATCAGTAGCTACAAAGCTGGTAAATAACAATGCACACAACGGTAGGTAGGCCCGTGAAAGTTGCTTACCCGATGTAGGCTAACATCCACCCTACCACGGAACATGCTTGCGTTAAACCCGTTAAATGCTGATACCACCAAAGCTTCAAAAAGGGTATAAAACTTGCTTCCATTCCTCTCAAAACCAATCTCATGAAATAGAAAAGCACTAAAAAAAAAAATAAAAAAAATATTACCTACAAAATGAAATCAGTTTTGGCCAATTTGGGATTAGCCCTTCAACTTTTGGCGTTAACGTCATCCGTCCACGGTCTGCTGGGCCCTCAAATTACGTTACCCGATGGAGACATCATCACCGGTAACTACGAACTTCTCAACAACCTTGAATCTTATTTGGGTATCCCATTTGCGGCTCCGCCGGTCGGACCGTTGAGATTCAAACCACCCCAGCCATACACCGGGAGCTTGAACGGTTTCCAGGCTCTGGCCTACGGCCCATCATGTCCTCAGGCGAACCCAGTTACTGGGGAGTTGGGAATCTTCGGTTCATTGCCCCAGGATGCTTTGAACTTGGTAATGCAAACCCCATTGTTCAACGCGAGTATCCCTCAATCTGAGGACTGCTTGACTCTCAATGTGTACAGAAAGAGAGGTCTCTCTTCTACCGCCAAGTTACCAGTGATGTTCTGGATTTTCGGCGGTGGTTTCGAACTTGGTGGCTCCAACACTTACTTACCGCAACAGTTGATGGCGCAGGGGACTCTCCAGGGCCAGGATTTCATCTATGTCTCTATCAACTACAGACTCGCTGCTTTTGGATTCTTGGGAGGAAAGGAGATCAAGGCCGAGGGTAGTGGTAATGCCGGTCTTTTGGACCAGAGACTTGGGTTACAATGGGTTGCCGACAATATTGCTGCGTTTGGTGGTGATCCAAGCAAGGTCACCATCTTCGGTGAATCGGCTGGGTCCGTTTCCGTGGCCCACCAAATGATTGGTAATGGCGGTGACAACACCTACAAAGGCAAGCCATTATTCAGAGCTGCTATCATGCAATCCGGGTCTCTTCTGGTAGCTGGAGACATTGATGCGGAATTTCCACAGCTGATCTTCGACTCCGTTGCCAATGCTGCTGGCTGCGGTACTGCCTCCGACAAATTGGCGTGCTTGAGAGGTCTTTCTTACGCCGACATGCAAGCAGCGAGTAACTCTGTCCCTGGTATGCTTTCTTATGAAGCCTTCCAATTATCCTACTCTCCAAGACCGGACGGTGGCTTTATTCCCTACAATCTGATGCAGATGGTTGCCGATGGCAAGTATGCGAGGATTCCATACATCATCGGTGACCAAAACGATGAAGGGACTATTTTCTCTCTCGCCAGCTTGAACGTGACCACTGAAGCAGAATTGTCGACTTTCATTCTTAATCTGTTTCCAGGAATGTCTTCCTCCCAGTTGGCTGAAATATTGACTTTGTATCCACAGGATGTCACTCAAGGTTCTCCATTTAACACCGGTACATTGAATGCGTTGACGCCTCAGTATAAGAGAATTTCTGCTTTACTTGGTGATTTCAAATTCCAAGCCCCAAGAAGATTTTTGTTGAACCACACTTCAGATGTTACTAGATACACCTTTAACTCCCAGCAACTACAGGGCCTCCCAATTGTCGGTACGTTCCACGCTAATGACATTATTTGGCAGTATTTCGTCACTGGATCAGGATCCTTGATCTACCGTAACGCGTTTATTGCGTTCGCCAATACCTTGAATCCTAACAGCGGTGGATTGTTTACCTTGACCAACTGGCCACAGTACCAGAACACCAATGCTCTTGCCAACAACATGATGTA